CAGAGCGGGGCCCGCCGCTGCCCCAACACTCAGCGACACAGGAGCCTTACCTGGAGTTGTCTTACCCCTGGCACTGCCCCTCTGTAGCTATCAGAAGGGCGGAAAACGCATTAGGGTAATTCTGAATTACTACATTTATTTTTAATCAGCAAGCAATTAAAGAGAAAATACCAGACTTCCCTTCTCAGCCAGGGAGGGAGGTGTGGCCAGAGTCTCGTCTATAGGGGCAGCGCAGCGCAGCGAGGTGTGTGTGGCGGTTCCATAGTGTAGTGGTTATCACGTCTGCTTTACACGCAGAAGGTCCTGGGTTCGAGCCCCAGTGGAACCAGCACAGAGGAGTGACTTTTTTCTTCTTTGGTTCACGCTAAGCTCTTCAATAATTTCTTTTAACATGATGAGTTTCATAAGCAGTTAAAGAAGGCGGGGGCCCTGCATGCGGCAGAGGCGGAGCACTGTTTCCAGGGGAGCAGAAAGGCGCTTCAAGTGGGAAACCCTGTCACAAGGGATCCCTTCCACAGGCTGCAGCCTTGCCTGGGAATGCCCGCCTGCAAGAGGAGCCTTTCCCTGCCAGCGCGGGAGAGGAATCCCCACCTTACCGTGGTCCCTCGGAGGGGTAACCGAGGGGACGACAGAGAACAGAGGCAGTGGGGAGAAGCAGCAGCCCGTGCCTCCTCCCAAGCAGGCGAGGGACAAAGGCAGTGGTGAAGTCTGCAAGCCCCATGCATCCCCCCAAGGAGTCTCACCGGGATAGCCTGGAGCATGGGTCCTCTTATCTCTGTGTTTGGAGACGTGTTTGAGCGCGTCCCTTGAGCGGGAAAGGCCAGCGGTTTTCACAGCACACAGCTAGCAAGCACAGATAACTCCATCCTTGATTTCCCCTGTACTGTGCATATCGTTTTTATTAACTGGGAAAGAAAGAACCATCTCAGCTTGCCTCAGAGCAGTTTAACTTTTAAATTATAACATGTTGTCTCATTTTGCACAGGCAAGGCTTTAGAAAAGGGTAACCTCTGGGCATGGGTGCTGGCACAGCATCTGTCTGTGCGTGGGAGCCCTATCGAGTGCTGGGGCTAAGATGTCTCTGCAGAACAGTCCCTGAGCTGCACTGACCTGGAGTCAGCTCTTGATTATCTTTGAAGGATCAGAGTGGGAGGGTGTGATTTACCTATCTTAAAGATTAAAGAGAAAAAATTGGCTTAGCTTACTTTAATCAGAGACTTATTAAGAAACTTTCCTTAATCATCATCATATTGAGAAAACTATTAACCTTTGTCAGTGCTTGTTCTCAATAAACAAACACTCTGGGGTATGGGCAAGCTGCAGTCAGTGATTGCAAATAAAGATTGCAGACCAAGGGTACCTAGGCCTAGGCCAGGTTGCAGAAGCTCTTTTGGGTGGAAAGCAGCCCTACATCCCATAGTGAGAACCGGCAGGCTAAAGTTGTAACATTAACACCATACTGATACTAAAGGCCTGTGCATCATGCAACCTGCAAGTGAAGAAGTACTCATGTCTGGTTTTCCTCTGCCTATTTGCTTAGCAGTGTGTGTGCAGCCCACAGGAGGTGAAGCCAAAGCAATGCAATCACCATCTGGGGTAAACTGTCTTCCACAGCCCTACTACTTCCAGGATATAGGCTCAAAGCTGAGTCAGACATAGCTAGACTTCTAAAGTAGGATATGCAAGTCTCTGGTGTAGGTTCATCCCATCTAACAGGGATGGTGATTCCATATCCTGCCATGGACAGCCACAGCATCCCCAAGTACATGACTTACAGAGAATAGGCCTGGGCCTAGTGGTCAGCACTGCATAATTATCTGCCTCATGTTTTCTTAACATTTAGGAAAAAAATCTCCTTTTCAGAAGATGACTGGAGCTCATGCTTCAGACTTGTAAAAAAAATGTTTTATTCTGAGAGCCATATCTTAAATGTGTGTAGTCTACTGCAGCTCCATCCATTTGAAGGGGTCCAGCTCCTGACTCAGGCTCCAAAAGCATCGACAATTTTGCCCTCTCCACACATCAGTATTCTGCTTCTGAGAGATGTCAGTGGTTCACACGTACATGTATAAATGTGTATATATATACAAAATATATATGTATATATATACACAAAATGTATATATAAATAATGTTTTGTACGTTCCCTTACTGTGCTAAAACAAAAGTGTGCCAGTCACACATTTCTGCTGAGACACTGCTTGTCGTGTGCATTCAGCTTCCAGACGCATGGATCTGTGTGTGCTGCTCCGATTGAGCCGTCTGGCACTCTGACTTGGGGAGACACATGACACTACTACACGGAGTTCCACTTCTCTCTCACACACAAGTACTTTTGTCTCCTGCTTCCCCTTTGAGTCCACACACACATGCTGCCAGTCAGACTAAAAGCATCTTCATGGTGCAGGGTGATTTCTGTGTTTTTTCCCCCAGTCTGGCAGAAGAAACACAACAAGACTTCTGAGGGCTGTGAAAACATAGCAAAAGGTCTTAGGCAATGGGACATGAGCTAGAGCTGGAGAAGATGTATGGACGAAAGAGCAAACCTGCCCAGGCAATTCCTGTTCTCCATAGCAGTGGGAATGTTACCAAACTGTCTTAATTTGGGCCATTTGTACTAGTCTCAGTTTTGTTCTGTAATCAATGCCAGACTAATCTTTATCCTTTTTGAAATTGTATTTTTCTTTTTTTATACAGGGCAAATGTAGAAATTTCTGGTGCTCTGTTATGTACTGGCCATTAAATTTTTTCTGCCTTTGTACCTGAAAATATTTCTGTGCTTGCTAGGAATTAACAACTTCATTCATTTAGCAATGCTCTCTGCAGTGGCAGCATGGTTTTGCTGTTTACAGTTATTAAAATGATGGACTATCAACACCATTAGATACAGACTCTCAGAACGGCATACTATTTATACAGAGACATTAATTTTAATGCTCTTCTAATCTTCATGTGAAACAGTTTGGTTTTTTGAATGCTATACACAAGTTTTTAAACAAAGGCTGCCTTTCCTTCTGTGTGGAGGGAGTTTTATAACTGGGCAGCCAACAGTTTTAAGAGTATCCCTTTGGACTAAATGTTCTTTGATAAGAGCAGTGCTATTCCTGAACATGTTCCCTGAGCTACTGTGCATTTCTTGCACCAAATGAAAATGTATTTGAAGGGTGGGGTTGACCATAAACCAAGCTGATTTAAAGCTGCATGTGGTGATGGGAGATAATTTGGCTTTGCTTATCTTTAAAACATGGTAGTTGATTTCTCTTTGTGTGAGTAGCTCTCCTTCCCTGTGACCTGTCCTTATGAGACCATAAGGTGAGAGGCTGAAGCTCAGGACTGGTTTTCCATGGGATATGTGGATGAAGGTATTTAGAGATTTTTAAGCTGGGATTTTCAAACCCATGAGATTTAGATACCAACTGCTCATCAATGCAGAGAGAGAATAGATATCTGAGTGTCTTCAGCAGTTCTGGAAATCTCTGTCTCCTTGGCAGCCCATTTTAGACTGAACAATATAAAGAGGATACTGTGTAGAGCCTGAAGTGAAAAGCTGCACTGCAGCAGATGCCCAGAGCCTGCCCTGCTACCCTCAATGGGTCTCATGTTTCTTTAATTCCTGGCTAGACCTTCCGGTGGGTCTCACTGCCCTGAGAGGGGAACAGCATGTGAGCATGAGGCCTCTGGCAAAAAATCAGGAGCAGTCCCTGCCCTTAGAAAATTTACCCCCTTCCTGGTGCCTGGGATGGGCTATCCCACCTGCTCACTCTGCCATGCTTTGATTTGACCCCCAGTGTTTGGGGTGAGCTGGCCCAGGTCCATGAAGAGGAATGGCCATGTCTGTGGAGGGGTCTGCCTGTGACAACCCTCCTCTCCGTGTAGGTAGGGTAAAATGGGGAAAGTGTTGGGCTGAGGAGGTTAAACTCCTTGAGGCTGAGCACAGCAGTGAGCCCCTTCAGCGGGAGACTCCTCCCATCCATGGCACATACCCTGATGAGTCTGGGTTGTGTTGATGCTAGAGGTGCGACTGCAGTGGGATGCTGTACCTGACAACAAATTTACAGGGCATTCCAAATATGTGGATATCCAAAGGCAAGTAAGATGAATCCTGCCCAGGGGACTATTTTCAAAAAGCCAGCATCCTTGTTTGCACAGTATTTTTGAATGAATATAAACCAGAAGATTAGAGACATGTCTGGCTTAACTCAGCAGCAGCCTATGTGATCTAAGTAGTTCCTTAATCTATTCCCAGTGCATGCAATCTGAGATCTCTTGAAACAAAACAAGCTGCTTCTGAAGCAATTGCTTTCAAAAACCTCCATTAAAAATTCACTGCTAATTTCACATAATCAACAGAGATTGGAGGAACAGGTGCAAGATCCACTGGAATCTCTAGCAGTCTGTTTTTATCTTGAGTCAGTCATTCTAAAATCAAATCTTTGATGTAGGCTGGTTGAGAGAATATTGTAGGTAAAACTGTTAGCAAATAGAGGTTTTCATTTTTGGTTAGATATTTTTGCAGCCTAGGAAGTAAACAACTGAAAAAAAGCTATTTTTGTTTGATCTACTAATTGCAGTTTTCAGCCCTGTGCAATTTGGTGACTGGAAGAGCAGTAAGGCCAGAGCAGATTTCTACACACAACTGTTGCTAAGAAAGACATTGCTAGTGTGGAGGTAAATAATTGGGGTGGAAGATAATGAATGCATGCTATAGACAATATATACAATACATATTTTGTAAGCATTAGGCTTTTGCATTTCTGTAGGGTATGTATATGTGGTTTATATGTAGGTATATTCTGGTTTATTTGGACATATGTCTGCATGTACAATTAGATTCACACTCAAGAGTGTCAGTACCTCAGTACTTGATGCCTTTTAAAAGCTGTTACAGATGGCACAGCCTCTAGGATGGAGTTTGACAGGAACAATTGTGTACTTGGCTTGATGGTGCTTGATAAAATCATGGGAATGGAGGAGAGTAAGGTGCTTAGGCAACGCTTAAGTTAATCTCATGCCTTCCCATCAAGCCAAGCAGTACACTAAGGAGCTATTCACAACTGAGGAAGGAAAAGATGCAGTTCAAGATGGGGAGCGTCCTGCTGTCTCTTCTTTTCTGGTACAAAGGTACGCACTTTGCCTCCTGAGAGGCTCATTCAGATATCCCTCTTTGTGTTTCCTGTTTCAGGCACGCTTTCTTCTGCCAGGGGCTGTGGGGTACCGAGCAAGGTCTTCTCTACATTCTCATGGAAACATAATAATTTGGGGAAAGGCAAAATGTGGAGGAGATGTGTAATTTATGTACATGAGTGAGCAGCATTCTTACAGCTCCATGAATATTCAGTAGTAAAACTCTGTTTCAAAAAAATAATTGCAGTGTAAAAAAATTGCCATATAATTTGTCAAAATATGATTTTGCAAAGAAAATTGTAGTGCAGCTGAGCCAGTGTGTAAATAATAATGCTGATTTGAAAAATGAGGTACAGTATACATGAAAGACTGGTCCTTCATTAATCAAAACTCTTGATTAATCAAAAAACTGATAATTTTCTCTAACAGTAAGGCATTGGTGATGAAGACTGCCTCTTTTTTTAAGGCCTTTCAAGGTATTTTGGCCTGGAAAAGACTTCCTGGTAAAGACACTTCTAGAACAAAAAACAATTCATAAATCTAGAAAATGGGAAAGGTATTTATAAATTTTTAGGCTTTCTCATATTCATTTTTCAGAAAAGTAGTAACAAAAGTAGGTAAGCAGGAACTAGAAGGAGCCAGAAAATTTAGGGTTACAATCTTCTTCCATTTTAATTCACCCAGCTGTGGAGAACAAGGAGATAATTTCCTGGTTCATGTTTAAATTTCTGGCTTCATCAAAGCTACTTTTTTTCTTATATGAGGCTGAGAGTTGCTCAAGTGGTGGGCAGTGTTTACCGACATTAATCTATGAATCAAGTATAATCTGTCAGGGTGAGGAACAGATTAAACAGACAGTCCAACTTTTCTCCTGTGGGTGTTGAAATCGTGGTGTTTTCCTATGTCTGTTTTTTTTTTCTATCTTTCTCTATTTCCATTGAATATTTTGCTCTACCAAATTTCATGGGTAGGAAAATAAATGCTTCTCAGCTAGCCATGCTTTCATTTCTTGTTATGTTTGGCTGTACTCAGCTCTGCCTAATTAATAGGTCTTTCTTTTAATCTACCAGCAAATATTTGTACGTTCTCCTCTTAACTTATCTCTTCACTCTCCTTTGTTTCACTTGGGAAGGTTACTGGTGCCTGAGCTTCTAGGAAGAGTGTTTTTATACAGACGCCAGCATTTTTTTCCCTATGGGTGGCATAACTGCAATTAGTCCTTGGAATAAGTTCATATACCTTGCTCTGAATTCCAGACACAGCTTGCTTTTAATAGACACCCACACATCAGGATATTTTTGGAGAGCCTGCAGTGAAAAATAAGTTGCAAGATCACTTTCCGGGCATCACTCCTTTGGTATTTAATTAATTTTCTTAATTTACTGAATTTCTTAATTTACTGCTTTTCTCTGCTCCGCGGTCTGAGTGTCGTCTTGCGGACAGAGAGCAGCCCGGGTCCCCCTCACACTCCCGCCTCTCCCAGCACGAAGGTGCCGCTAGGTCAGCCCTCGGAGCTACGTGCACTGATGCCTCGATAAGCTGCTTAGCTTTATTTTCCCTGGCAGAGCAAGTGGCTTAGAGGAGCACCCGCGGGCCCCGCGCCTTGGCTGGGCTTGTGTTGGCTGGGGACAGAGCACGGCGGCAGCAGCAGCAGCAGCAGCAGCAGCAGATGGTGCCCCGGCAGGGCTCCTGCGGCCAGAGCTGCCGGGCCCCTCGCTACGGCGAGCGCAGCCCCCGAGCCCCGCAGTGACACGAGCGGCACGAACGCGCTGCGAGCGCCCCTCCGCACCTGGAGGAACAAGCACACCTCAGCAAGTCAGGAGAGGGGATTTCTCTTTTTCTCACCCGTTTTTTGTAGCTTTGAAAAAAACCAAACCAAAACAA